GTTCAAGACCAGCCCGAGCAAGAGTGAGACCTCATCTCTACTAAAAATAGAAAGAAATTATCTGGACAACTAAAAACATATATATATATAATATATATATAATTTGCCTGGCATGGTGGCGCATGCCTGTAGTCCCAGCTACTCGGGAGGCTGAGGCAGAAAGATCGCTTGAGCCCAGGAGTTTGAGGTTGCTGTGAGCTAGGCTGACGCCACGACACTTCAGGAAAAAAAAAAGAGAGAGACAGAATATGTGGAACAACTGGAACTTGTATCTGCTTCTGGGAGTATAATTGAAACAAATCACTTTAGAAAGAAATTTGACAATATTTAATGCAGCTGAAGGTGTGCATATGGCCCGGCAATTTCACTGCTAATTATGTACCCCTCAAACACACATGTGAACAGGAATATTCAAAGCAGCACTGTCTGTACTAGTTTTAAACTAGAAATTTCTCAATGTCCACCAAGAGGAAACAGATACATATCTCATGCATTGGCCATACAACCAAATATCAAATAGCACCGAAAATGAAGAAGTAGAATTACTCCCATCAATGAAGATAATCCTCAGAAACATAATATTGAGTGAAAATGATTCAGAAAATACATATTGCATGATACCATTTATATGAAATTGGAAATATAAAAACTCAATTCAATAAACTCCCTATGCAAATAGGAACAGTATGAAAACATGAAAGTATAAGCATAAAGTTCAGGATAGTGATTACCTTTAGGGAGGGAAGAGGGTGCACAGAGGCTCCATCTATGTAATGTTTTATTTTTAAAATCTGAAGCAAATGTGGAAGAATATTCTGTTATGCTTGGTGGTGGATCCAGGGTATTTATTTGAGATATTCTTCTACATGCATTGCTGCACGTTGAGATATTTCAAGACAAACAAAGAAGTCAACTCTGATGGCTCAGGCTTAGAGGTACTGGTGTAAGGAATTAATAAATAGTTTCATTGTCTCCTGAAGAGAAACTGAAAACTATCCCGCTCCCCAAGGAGTGAATTTATTTTTTAGGAGTCATTTAATCTTTGGAGCTTTAAATATACTTTAACTCATTCCATAAAGAATTCGAGGTAGCTTGCAACCAAAGACACATACAATGAACCACAAAAACATAAACATAAGTGGAAAATTCGGATCAAAGATAACAAATATTCCATCAATACTGCTTAGCTATAGTTACTGTGATCAAGTTTCAAACTTGGCTCTGAACTTTCTTGGCAACAGTAACCACTCCATCTCCAGCTGACCCATAAAAGCAGGTTACAAAAACTAACCTTTGTTCTTCAAGGTTTAAATGTAATATTTTCCTGAGCAGTCTCTCTTTATTCTATTTTGCATTTTGCCTTGCTAACCAGCCAGCTTCATTCATTTCCCCTCCCTTCCTCTCCTCTCTCTCTTTTTTTCATTTCTTTCATTCCTTCTTTCCCTCTCTCCCTCCTTCCTTTTTTGGTTTCCTCCAAGAAGATCATATTAAACTGTGAGCTGAAAGGATAAAAACTCAGGTTTGCCCAAAGAGGAGATAAATACGATATATTTTGATGTGTCACCAAATTTTTAGTGACAGATAAGCATGGAATTGAAGCATGGAAAGATATAGGTACACTATTATCTACTCTCTGAGTAAGCTTAATTACAGTGAAAGAAATCATATAGGAAACAGTAAGAGATTAGACAACACAAAAATAAAAACACAGATAAATCAAAATTGAAAGACAAATACACTATGATAATAATCTAACCAAGTGATAGGTTTATTTTCTTAAATATAAAGACAACATAAACAAGTACTGCTATATGCCAATGACTCCAAATTTTATAATTCTAGCCCAACCCGTATTTCTCTCCTCAACTCCCAACTCCTATTACACCTACTTAGCACCTGCACTTGGATATTTATCTCAAACTCAACGTACACAAGATGCAATTCCTGATCTTCCTCCTGAAAGAGCTTCATTCACAGCCTGCACCCATCTCAGTTGATGGCAACTCCATCTTTTCAGTTGCCGAAGCCAAAAACCTTGGGGCCATCACTGACTCCTGCCTCTCACAGCCCACATCCAATCTATCAGCAAATCTTGTTGGCTTTGTCTTTAAAATACACCCGAAATGAACCACTTCCTGACACCTCTGCTGCTACCACTTTGATCTGAGTCCTATTATTCCTTGCCTGGCACCCTTCCCACTGGCCTCCCTCATTTGATTATTGCTCTTGCCTCCTCCTCAGGTTGCTTTTCTACACATTATTGGTATGAATCCAGCAATATTTTTTTTTTTACTTTTAATACATTTAACACTAAACAATAAATAACATGTGTACTTACATTTTACATTAGTATTTATCCTGTACTTATTAATGTGCTGCAATGTGCTATATAGGTGGATATATTTTGAGAATTCTCATTTTTATTTGCTACTCTTCAGCATAACAGCAAACATGAAGGCAGATCAGGAAAGACTGTGGGCATCATAGTTTTTCCCATGTGCCAGATCCTTAAGACTAACCGTGAATGTGGGTGCTGCCTGCTATTTATTGGCTGAAAGACCCTCGGATGAGTTTTTTAACCTCTCAATGCCTCAGTTTTCTAAAGTTCAAATGGGGAGAGCTCTCATGCATATAACACGGTGTTAGGAGACTGAGAATTCATACAAAGAGGCTGCATTTGTAAAACACTGCTCCATGAATCTTTGTTATGATCATTGTGACTCAGTGAGGAGAGCATCCCTGCCCTGATCGGGAACAGAAGAGGAGCATGGCAGGGCTGCACTGTCTTCCAAGCCAGGCCATGGGTGGAATGAAGCTCAGGAAGTAGGGACCTGATACCAGCAGCACCCTCGGACTCAGCAGCACGTTAACTAGCCTCAGATCCACCAGCGCACTTAGTAACCAGCACCAGATCTAGCAGCACGTTTACACATCCAGTTGCTGAACCAGAATATGGGGTGCAGCATCTTCCCAAATGGAGGATGCTGAATATTTTTACTTTTGAGGCAACCACAATACTGTTTCTGTTTGAGATCCCTTTTGGGAAAAAAACAATCCTTCAGCACACACTAGCCTGGACAGTGTCAGACTGTGGGATGGTGCTTCTCTTCCCCTTCCCAGAAAACCTTGGAAAATGCCAAGTAGAAAGGGCAATTTATTCCCTGGATCACCACTCATTCACAACATAGCACCCTCTCTTGATCCCAGACCCAGCAGACCCAGGTCCCCTTGTCCTTTCATCTGGGGATTACCGTCAGCCAGGAACTCCAGTGAACAAAATGAGTTTGGAGGATAGAACTGGATAGAACACAGCCATTGGGAGTTTGGGCCCAGATGAAATAAGGATTCAAGAAGTAGAAATTATTACAGGATAGTGGGGGCAAACAAGAGGGAACTCAAGTCGGAAGGAAGGAGAGACCAAAGCTGAGAGGTAAGGAAGTTTGGTTTCAGGAACAAGAGAGAAACTCTATTACTAGGACTAAAGCAGCAAGTCTAGGTAGAGCTGGCAGTCGCTGGGCAGGCTTGCTGCCAATTCATTGAGTGCTGACTTAGGGTTCCTCGAGTTCCCAGAATGACTGGGACAAGAATGCATGTGAGGGTCAAATCTCTAGCACTAGGGGTAGGAGGGTTAGAGGAAGAAAAGCAGCATGCAGGAAGCCGGACAGATGATTGATTAAACAGCTAGGATGTTCACCTGCAAAGCCTAGAGTAAGCAACAGTTACACTCCTGAGGAGTCACAGGTTCTTACATCTTTCCTATTTACTAGAAGTCCACCAACAAGATATTCTTGGTTCTTCTTTCAACATCACCCTCAAGCTGGGATCTCATTTCTACACCAAACAGATATAAACTCCAGGAAAGATCACTGTTTGCCAGATGAGAAATGGTCCATATGCTTCAATTTGGAGGGATTGAAGGATCAAAAGCAATACCAATAGCTCTTCTTATCCTAGGGCACCAACCCTATGGTTCAACCTGCATCCAAAAGAATAATAATAGCTCTATTCATTGTGTGTTTGCTGTGTGCCAGGCATTAGGAGAAATGCTTTACACGCATTATCTCATTTGATCCTCAACAATAATCTTTGGTAGTAGATACTATTATGAAGAAACTGAGGTTCAGATAGGTCACAAGCTGGTAAGCTGATTAGCTTAAGTCCCAAGATGTCAATCTAGGACAGTGTGACTTAAAAGGCCATGTTCAGAAAAATTATATTAACCTACTAAAATTGAGCACTCCTTCTGGGGGGAGGGTGACCAAGAGATCTTAAGGACGTGGGTCTTTCTTAGAACCATAATAGCAGCTTACCCAGCTTCCTTCCAAAGTGTCTCTGCATGACTTTGCTGTCCTATACCTTTTATTCTTCTTTACCCACATCATGGTGGTCCTGCAGTCATAACAGCTTCTGGCAAAACCTGAGCAAACTGGAGAATTTCTATTTAGGATCTGTAAGATTGTTTTTCTGAAATTATATCATCTCTAGCCTTGGTATCAGGCTACCAACCACCATCCTCACCAGCATGAATTAGGCCAAACCCTTTTGTATCTCGTTTGATCTTCAAATGAAATTTTAAAGATTAAAACCTTTCACCCATGCATTCCTAATACTTTGGAGGCACGGGTACACAAGCATGCCTATGAAAAGAGCCCCAGAGTAGCTAAGAATGGAATGAAATACCTTTCTGAGAAGCAGACTTGTTAATTTGTAACTGCAGTTTACATTCACTCAAGATCCCTCAAAACAGCATTTTTTTGATACCTCAGTGTTTTTTTTTTGGTTGCTGTGTGTGCAGGAGCTTATTTTGATGATACCTCAGTTTAACTCATTTTCATATTCTACACCCACAGTCACTCCCAGGACCTTCGGTAGCACCCTAAGAATGCATCCCTAGAGAACAAGGCCTCCTCCCATATAGGTGAATAGCAGGGCTCTTCCCCAGCTAAAGAGGAACATAATAAACATGACAATTCAGACTGAATTAAGAAGGCAAACATATTTTTTTACTAATTTATTGATAAGTTTATTCTTCATCCATAAAAAAAGAACATATTTTTGGCTTTTAAATCATGACATACAATAAAAAGGCAAATAACTGAAATTATCAGCTGAACAGTAGGTAGAAGCAGCTCGTACTGAATCATCGGCAAATGCTATGTGCTTTGGGCTACAGCAGGGCACCAATCAATGCAACAACCGAAGATGCAGCGCCACGCCATCTCTGAAAACTGCTTAGTTTCAAAGGGTTGTTTGGTCATTATATAGAGAATATTAATCCTGCCTCTCCTGCTTTCCTTTTTAATCTTTATGAGAACAGTAGGCAATGATGCTTTGATGCTAGTCTTTCTAGTTTGTAGGATAGTATTGTTGTTTTAACATGTATAACCTGCATATTTTCAGCCTTCAGAAAATAAAACTGCCAAAATCAACTGTAACTAAAAGCCATTTTTATTTTTGGTCAGTTATCTGCTGTAGGCACAGCTTCATATAGGAATTTTTATTGCGGATTTCTATGACTGCATCCCTAACAAGCTCAATGAACATCTGTGGCCAAAGCTTCTGCAAAGCCTCATTTTTCATGTTGATTTCTGTGGCTTCCTTCACAAGGTCCTCTATATACATCTTGCAGAACTTCTTTTTTTCCTTTATTTCCTGTTAGGAAAAAGAGAGTTTTGCATTAAATCATAACTAATCCAAAAGTCAAAGCAACAATTAGCTGAACCACAGAAACGTGAAAGTTTATTCTGATCCCCCTTCCCTCTCCCCCACCCCTACCCCTCACAGCAGGAATTCTTTCCTAGCCACTCCTGTCAGAGAGCTCTGCTAGAGTAAAGACAGCAACAAGGAGTTCCTTACTTCTCAGCCCACTCCCACTTCTGTTTATTGGAATTGCTGAATCATAACTACTATTTCTCCTATCTCAGTTCAGGTAGTTTAGCTCACACAGTCAGCTGAATGCACACACTCATGGCTTCCATGAGTAAATGTATCAGGGTACTGATAATGATAATTTTAATTGGTATGAGGTTAGTTAATATCCATATAATATTTAATACTTTAAATACCTATACTCCGAATTTACTCTCTATTATAGAAAAGCATAGAACGGTACATTACACTGACTTATGTGGCCTAGACCATTTGGACAAAGTTGGGGAAAAGTGTACAAGAAGAAAGAAGAAATATATGTGGGCCTAGGACCCAGAATGTGGCCTTCTAAAGAAATAGTGTTCCCACTCAACTTCTGGGTCTGACAGTCTACAGATGAAAAACCTGTTCTAAACAAAACAGGGGAAGTTTAGGGCCAGAGAATATTCAGCCATTGGGTCCCAATTTCATCACAGAGGCTAAAACAACGCCATTTTGTTTAATGTAAGAATTCAACATTATTTTAGCAATTGATACTTCTGGAGAATATCAAGGCATGATCATGGAAGGTATCAAAATACATATGGAAAAATCAATTCAACACATTAGATAATCAGAATTACAAGGGAAATAATTCACATATACAAAGGAGGGAAGCAATAATAAATGTTAATGAGAAAATACATTTAACTATTAATACTTGGAAAATGATCCATTTAAATCTCTAACTCAAATTGAAACAACAAAATAATTTCAAGGTGAATTAAAAGAGTTAAATTTAAAATATCACAGATATTGTCATTCAAATTACACCTATGAAGATTTATAATAACAAGAAAAATGCTTATATTATAAAGTTATGTGAAAAAAGAAAAACACAAAATGAAATTTTGATAGCGTTTGGGCTCTATGAATGTATGCATTTGTCAAAACTCAGCAATTATATACCTAAGATCTATATTTCAGTATATTAATTTTACCTTAAAAAACTGTATCAAATACTGAAGTCTAATGATATGCATGCAGAATTATTTCGGGAGAAGCTCACTAATGTCTACAAATACTTTAAAATGAATTTAAAAAACCCAAAGGTGGCTTTATGGATGGAGAGAAGAATGGATAGATACACAGACATGTAACAAAGCAAGTATGTTGCATGGTATGATGCTAATAGTATAATGAGGTTTGGGGTGTACAGGTGTACGCGTTTATTGTAAAATTCTTTCAACTTCACTGTATATTTGAAATTTTTATTAAAAATTAGAAAAGAACACATAGACAGTATTGAACAAAATACAGTGAAGTGTCATTAAGATTGTCTTTCGGTTGCAAGACCGTAAGTGTGTTTTCCTACTTTTTTCCGTTTTTCTTTTTCCAAATGTTTATGATTTTTCAAATATGTTTTAAATTCCTGACTAATTAATGTAAGTTAATAATGAGTATACATTGCACTAACTTTCCCTAACAGAGGTATATTTTGGGAATTTTCTTATGATATATAAAACATATATAAATAATCACTCACCATCCAGGGGTCAACATGCTGATTTGATACAGTTCATGTGCTAAAACAACAGGCCATAGGTTGATCTATCATAAAAATATGTATGGATTTTGATATGTGATAAACAACAAATGTTTCCAGCTGACTATTTCTCTGATGAACCTAACTTCTCTAACCCCAACCATACCACAGTCTGGGACTTAGGTACCTGCACTAAGTTAGCATGTTGATGAGAACAGCATTTAGTTGTTCACTTTTAACAGTCAGTAAATCTGAGCTACATAGGGGCCCCTAGAAAGAAGAACAAGTGTGAATCACTAGAGGTCAGTAACTAGAATGAGCAACATTTTATAACAAGCAATGCATTTACACAAGTAAAAGGCAAAGTGCATATTTAATGAATGCTTCCCTTACAGATTTCTAAATTTCTTAAAACAGGATTTGAATTTAAAAAAGACAAAGTTCTATGATTAAGATGAAGAACTGTTATAATAATCTAGAAATAACAAAAATTAAAAGAATGAAATGATGTATTTTGTTAAATCATTTATATATAATACAAATTACAATAAACTTTTCATAATTGGCATAGTATGATTTTTAGTGTTTTAAATTTCCTGGTACAGTTTCTTCCATTGTTTCTCTATGATCATATATGTTGATATAAAATTATATTTTCTATAATAACCTTTCATTTAGTAATTTGTTTGAAAGCATTTTTTACATCATTATTTCTCCTCTCCTCCAAGCCAATTTCTCCACATCTCCATGCAGTATATCCAATAACTCATCAGGTCTCTGCCAGGAGAACTCACTCTGCCCGTCCAGGATGATACCATTAAAAGCACATGAGAGATGCCTCTCTTGCCCTGACCTGTCAAAGAGTTGTGGCTCTCTGAATAATGCTTTTTCCATTCTCAAATGCTTTCATATGCTTATTCCTTTTTATCCACAATATCTCCGTGAGATTCATAAAGCAAGTATTTTACAAGTTCAATCCTGATGAGATGAACTCTATACAATATTGTTTATATTATTTCATTGAACTAGAATTTTGTTATGAAGATGGTTTGGAAAAAAAGGTAGGTCAATGGTGAGGTTTGTTATAGAACAATTTTAACTATAATGGTATTTGTATTAGGATTTAATCCATATCCCTATTTTATAAGTGCAAAATAAGATCTATAGAGGTTGAGAGATTTGCTCAGGATTAAACATCATCTATTAATATTTCCCTAGAGAATAATCAAGTTCTTGAAGAATTTGCAGTCTAGTTGGGAGACGGCTTACACATATAAAAAGCTAACTAAAGAGATAAAACAGTTAAGTGCTGAATGAAATGACAGAGAGCAAATACAATTAGTGTTTAGAGAAGAGAGAGAGCCTTTTGCACTGGGGTGGTCAAGAAGACTTCAGAAAGCACCATGATAAACTGTGAAGTGTCCAAGGTCAGCAATCAGAAGGTCTCAGTTACAGCGGCAGCTCAGTCAATAATCCACTGTGAACCTGAGTAATTTACCTGAGTTTCTGGTTTTCCTCATTTACACAGGGGTGGAGAACCTTTTCATGTTGGAAGGCCACATTAATTTAGGTATAATCAAAGAAGGCCACATTCAAGAAACTTCAATTAGGTATACTTAAAAATGCACATTATTTTATAAAAATCTAACTATGTACTTAATTTCAAAAATGAGAACTATTTGTTAATTTTAAAGTTAACTAACCGTTTAATGACTTTGTTGTGTCTGCTTTTTGTTGGAAAGCATTTGAATATTTGGTAGCAGCATGGAGGTCTGCAGTTCCAGTTGATCCTCTAGATGCATATCAGTCATTTGTGACCTTAAGGGCATCTTGGTTTGTGTTAGGTAGGAGAATGTACATTTGCAGCAATCAGTGGTTGAAAAGCAAGAAAACAATTGTGGGGCATGTTGCTGAAGGTGTGGGTATTCTACTGCATTTTCCCTTATTTCACTTGGGTCTTTCTTAGCATCAAACAATGACTTTACAATGTCATCTACTTAAAGATCAATCAATTCCATCTGTAGTTCTTTACGTGCCTTAGGGATACCAACTAGGTGAGGCTGAAACGCTAATTTCAGTGTGATGTCATGATTCTCAAAGTCACTGAACCTTTCACTATTAAAGGTCTATAATAGCTGCCTATTCTTCAAATGATTCACATATATCATCCTGCTCATCAATGACCTTTGCTAACTGGGGAAAATGTTCATCCAAAATTTCCTTTTGAAGAAGTGTTTTGAAAAAAGATAGCATTTTTTGAAATGCTTGGATTTTTTGCCTCATATTATACATAGACTTAGTCTTAGCTTGCAAAGAAATATTCAAGTCACTTTGATGTGGTATGATATCACACAGAAATGCTGTATTCCTATAGAAATTTTCTTTTAATAATTCACATTGCTGATTCTGTTCTTCATAAAATTTAACTATTTGTTCTCACAGAGATAAAATTTTGGCTCATACCTGTCCCTGCAATAGCCAACACACTTTAGAATGATATGGCAAATCCACACTGAATACCTCATCGTTCAACTTTAGCATGTTATGGAACTCGCCATGTTATGCCCTGTAACTTGTTGCAAAGTGTCACTTACAATGGTAGCTTTAGCACAGAGATTTTGCTGATGAAAGATACAATGAAAAGTAATGAGAGCATCTGGATCTGTTTATACTTTTTTTTTATCTGTGCAATAAACCCTTCATGTTTTCCTGTTATGGAAAGTATACCATCTGTACATACACTCACTAAATTTACCAAATTCAGTCCAACCTCAAAACATTTATCTTGAAAGTTGTTGAAGATATCTATTCCCCATGTTCTGTTTGCAAGAGTGCCCAAAGCTAGTAACTCTTCATAGCAAAGAAAATCTGTTATGATCCAAATGAAGTATAAAACCTGCGCTGAGTCAGTAGTACCAGTTGATTCATCCAAAGCAGTTGAATAATACATATTTTCCTTTTGAAGTAGTGCGTGAAGTTGTTCTGTTATGTTAAAGGCTAATTCACGCTATGGATTAGTTATGGTTCTCCTTGAAAGAGGCAGTTGTTTGTACTTTGAAACGTTATTGGGGTCTAAGCATCCTACAACTTTGACAATGCATTCTTTCACAATCTCTATATCACTGAATGGCTTCCCTTTTTCCCAAGTATATAAGCTACTTTATAAGTTGCTTCAGTGGCATTATTTCCAGGTCTTATTGCTGCTTGGAGGAATTGTCTTTGTTTTGCTTTTCATCTTTTAATTTCTTCAATACAACCT